TGCAATATTTTATTACTCCGTTATGCTATTTAATTGTGGTTTAGGATTAAATAATGAGTCCATTTGATTCTGAGAATATTCAAAATAGGTATCAAGACCAGTCTTGGTAAGGAAACACCTATTAAGTGAACATTGAATATTATAATCGAAAATTATCCCTAATCAAGGTCATTTAAACGATGGACAATTAATGACCAATTGAGATTAGTGTGTAGTCTGATTTATAGCACCGTTTCATGTGCTACAAGGACATGATTGTCATAAATCATTTGCACAGGTATTGGTTTAGAACCATACTGGATCGACCTATGAGAATACTTTAAGAAATTAAAATTTTGTCATAAGTATACTTCTCATTATGGCTATCGGAACCTATTTCCTCGACCATGAGTATTGTGAGTTCTCTTGTTTGAGTACTAGTTCGCTTTGATGTTGTCAAACTTCTGCCGTAATAGGGGATTATAACGGCAACACTCGGGCAACTAGGTCCTCTCAGTAAGAGGAGCTACATTACAAGACTGGGAATGTCCCCCTACTAAAATAGGGAAGATGTCTTTGTTGTATACAAGGCCTCTCGTAGAGCGAGACTGTAAAATGCATGGCCGTGCTCGGATGGATTTTAGAAATCATCTGTTTATTGACAGTCGGACTCGGAATCGGGAAACACTTCTGTACGTAATAAGGATGACAAAACAAATCTTACCTTATAGTTCATGAAGAGACATTAAGCGACATAGGAAAAAAGCTGTACACAAAATGCGCACTTGTCCGGAAGGACAAGTGGGAGATTGAAAGGAATGGTGTCCTTCGAACAAGTGTACTATTCTGTTAGTGGGTTCAGAATTATTAGAAAGCTAATATATTCAGTGAGGTCAAGTGATCAAAATGCCTGGGTGGAGGCCGCTTCCGATCAGTAATATTAATGAATAATTAATATTACAAATTAATCTTGACTGAACCCTTCGGGTCACACCCAAGTATTCAACAAACCAAACCGACGAATTAATTCGGAAGGAATTATTGAGTCGACTGAGTAATATTTATTTAGACGTCGGAAATTCGAGCTTAGAGCTTCGAAATCGAGCGTCAGAAGTCGAGTCAAAAAATAGTGAAAGACGAGACGAGAAATAGTAATAAATCAACAAAAGACCAAAATATCCCTAGCATCGGAATGCCCAAGCAAACCGAGTGCTAAGGGCGTATGACCTACCATGGTGGCTAGCATGCGCACCAAGCCGAGCCTAGGCTGCCTGGTGCGTGCTAGCGCACCCATGCTAGCATCGCAAGGCTAGGCGCTGCCTAGTGTGTGCTAGCATGCTAGGCACAGCCTTGTGCGCGCAATGGCTAGCAAGCCATGCCGCAACAAGCTGCAGCAGCTAGCACGCTAGGCGCGCCAGCTCGCCACAGCTAGCAGCAGCATGGCTAGGCCATTGCTTGCTGCCTAGCAGCGCTGGCCAAGGCCAGCAGCAGCCCGCACAAGCATGCTGGGCTTTCTGGCCAGCAGCGCCTGACAGCCCGCATGCGAGTGCTGGGCCTGCTGGGCTTCCTGGGTGTGGCTGCCACGGACAGCAGCACATGGCAGCCCACCTTGGCTACCTTGGTGCCCAAGGGTGGGTGCCATGTGGCTTGTGGTCCTTGAGTGTGTGTGGAGTGAGGTGGCCAGTTATGGGAGAGGGAGTGGGGAGCAAGTTTGGTCCCCCCCTTCTCCAATGGTCCTCACCTAACCACTCACATGAGCTTGCCACTTGTTGATTTATTACTAGCTTGATTATTAATTTTATTTTAGCTTTAAAATAAAATGGAAAAATCATACTATCCCACATTGATAGGAGAGTAAATGATACTCCCATCATTTCCTATAAATACCCAAGTATGGGCATTGGGAATGATGCTTGAGTAAGAGTTGGAAAAGGCATCACAATTAGTGAAAACCTTTGAACTCAATATAATTACTCGGGTTTTATTGGTCGGGTCTTGCTAACCCCAAGACATTGGACCTAGTCGGTTTCGTTGGTGCGGGTGGACTTCGTTGGAGGTCTCCGTGTGATCGGGACTTGAAGCTTTCAAGTAAGAGCTCATTTTGGAGCGAAGCACGCGTCAAAGGTAATTAGCTTATCTTAATCTTGTGATTAATATAATTATGTTTATGGTTTTATTTATTGCGAGTGCGGTCTTGTTTTTGGGTTTGTTTCCGCGGTGAGTCGGACTCACCAAACCCCAACACGGAGAGTTCGCAAAATACAAGAGACACCCTTCCTTTATAATCACTAAGACATCTTGTGCAGACAAACACCAATTCTCAATTCTGTAAGGACGCCTAACAATGTCGCGATTCACCGAATCCGAAAAAATAATGGTTGCGTGATCTAAAAATAAAATCAGATGGTGAACAACTCTCGAATCCGGATAGTCAGTAAGACATTTCTGCGTTGCATAAGCTCTATCCAATCTCTCAAAAGTCGGATCTACCTCAACTCTATTATTTGACCAAGTATATGTGGGACCAGAAAATGGAACATCCATTAATCCCAACTCCAACCTCCACTAAATAAAATCTAATCGTCCTGGAATATTGGAGGAACCTCCTAACTTATCAGAAAGATATTCCACCTGATTTAAATCACCAATTAACATAACATTCGGATAAGTAGCTAAAATATCATAAATTTCCGACCACACAGTCATACGGTAAGAAGCATGAGGCGCACCATACAGAAAAAGGACATATTTTGTTACCAAATTCTCCACAATCCGACACAAAATTACATGTGGAGAAACCAAAAGAGGAGCAACCACCACTGAGGCAAACCAAAACACACAAAGGCCACCACTAAGACCCATTGAATCTACACCCGCAAAACCTGAACAAGAAAGGGAAGATAACTTCTGCATAACAGAATTTACAGACACCATAGTTTCAGCCAAAAACACAATATCGAGACCATAAGAGCGGACTAAGGACGCAATATAAGGAACTTTAGGGGAGTCCGCCTGACCTAAACCCCTACAGATCCAAGCCACAACCTTCATGTGTCACCTGGTGGCCTTAAACGGGCGGCCACCGAGCCCTCAGAAAAGGAACCATAACAAGACACCTGAATTGGAGAAGAAATACCAATTCCTTTACGCTTCCTGAAAGGAAGACAAGAGAAACAACTAGAAGCAGTAACCTCTAATCCTTTTTCCGTAGAATAAAACAAAAAATTCTCGACAGACCCCGAAGCCGATCTCTTCTTAGAACAAACTGATTTTTCCCATCCCCACATCTTTCCACGTCGTTTAAGCAGAATCGGCTTAACCCTCTGGCATGGTAAGGAGCTTCGTGTTTTCTTCTTCAAAGCAACTGACGAAGCAATAGAAATTTTTTACCGTTTGAAAGGGTAAGGTCCTTTATATAACCTCGAAGATCGAGGGGAAGGACAGAGTGGGCAACAGAATTGGTGGGTGATGGTGGATAAGAGCCGAGGTGAAGTTGGTATTTAAGTGGAACATGTAAGGGTTTGTTGTGGGTTGAGACATAGGGTTGGGTCGATGTTTCTGGCACTAATTTCCTCTTTTTAAGAGATGAGTGAGATAGAATAGCAAACTCACAACTTCTTTTATTGGGTCGAGTGTTTTGGGGTTGGGGTGGTTTAAAATTTTTGGAAAAACTCATGAGATTCACTTTGGTTGTTCTAAATTTCTCAGTTCTCTTAAGGCCAATATTCATATTTGAGAGGTTCCGGGCAGGCAAATTAGTAGACATACACGACCCATTTTTATCAACAATAAAAGGAGCAGAGTTATAAAGATTCAAAGGGCAAGTAGTCTGCTTATGGCCAACTCTATTACAGTCAGAGCACATAAGAAACAAATTCTCATATCTAAAATTTATCCATATAAACTCAGAGCGTCCAAGGTCCAAGTAAAAACCAGATAATAACGGCTCCAAAACATGAATGTGGAGTTTTACTCTGATCAAGCATCTAATTGATCCTGGAAAAGGTTCATCTATACACAGGAAGTTCCCAGCCATATTAATCATTGATTTAATGACATTAATCTCACATAAATTCAGAGGTACCTCATCAAGATGAACCTAGATAGCAGCCTTGTCAAATTTCATATTTCGGATTGACTCACCCTGATTCCAAGGCTTAAAGAGAAGAAGAGCAGCTTGGTACGATGTTGAACCATGTTGTAGCAAAGCTTCTATATCCCGGACGTCCTCACAAATAAAAAGGAAGATGTTTTCGACTTTCTGGACTATAATTTCCCCAAATTTAATCCACTGATGTAATACCCAATTTTGGATTCGGGATTCTGAGAAGTTCCTATAGTCTATGAATTTTCCAAGAACTAGATGGTGGAGAAGGGGATTAAAGGTGGAGGACGAGCAACTCCGGCTCGGATGTGCGAAAAAGTGATTAACAGACATCACAAATAAAACAGGGGAAAACTTAGAGAAATGCTTAAAAGATAAGAAGGATCACCGAAAAGATCAAGAAGATTAAAGGATAAAGTATTTAATTAAACTACATACTAATCTTAGCTTCTGCAAGTTGATTGATGAAGTTGGAGGAGGAAGATGGTGGAAGCGGTAGGAATAAAGCTCTAGATTCCTAGAGAGATAGCTCTCAATTTAGAGAGAGAAAGTTTTTAATAATTCATAGTGCAAAGTTAGTGAGAAACAACTTGAGGAAAATATTACTAAATATGAATCAATGTTTACCTTGACTATATTCCTAAATTGTAAGAATTTCATTCAATGCTTAAAATAATATGAACTCTTTGCTACACTATCACATAATCACTTAACATTATGTACAACAATTAAGAACTTGAATTCATAGGAATACTATTCAATGGCTACAATAAATATATAAAGCCATTGTAATTATTTTTAATCTCAACCATTGAAATTTTGAGGATAAATCTTGTTCATAATTTGTTTGATTATAAAATCTATAACTATTAAAAGTGAGAAGTTTTCAAGTTGAAAACTCCTTAGTAATAGTGTGATGACAATTTTGCCCCTCAAAAAGTACAATTACGATTTTGCCCTTATTTTGCTGCTGGTGATCTGTTGGCTCTCGTTCTTCTCTCAGCTAAAATGCTTAGGTGGTGTTTTGTTGGCTCTTGATTACTTTCTGCTTGCTGGTGATCACTTTATCCAGGGTTATTCAATCTTTGACCTAGGGTTATCATCTAAATTCGATCCCCAATTTCTCTCTCCTCAAGTCCTCAGTCTTTACCTCAGATTTCTCTCCTCAAAGTGAGTTATTTGATTTACTCTTAATTAACGAATTGTATTTCTTGTAAAATTTTGATCTGTTTCAATAATTTTCGCTTTTGATTTTCTGCTCGATTTTGCATTTGTTAAATTCGTTGTTTCTTTCAATTTTCATTGTCGATTTTCATGTTTGAATATTGATTTCCCTGAATTGTAGCTACGTGACTTTCTTATCTTTTTTCTCCATTGAAGCAGCTTTCGAGCCTTTTCCGTTCCTCCATTAAAGCGAATTCTGAGCTTTCCCCTTTACTGAAACAGCTTACAACTAATGTGTTTTTCAATCATCAATTTTCCATTTTAAAATTTGATTTACTTTTTGTGAATTATTATCAGATTTACTTCGATCTAATTTTGAGAAAAAAAATGGAAACCAATTTTATTAATTTTTGTGGGTTGAATATTTTAGGGTTCAATCTGATCAAAAATTAATGTCGGGATCTCTTGATCGATTTGCTCGCTTGCATTCAAGGTATGTCAAATTCTGATGATTTAATTTCCAGCGTTCTTGGTCGAATTGTCGCTCATGGATTTCCAGGTTTTTGGGCCAATTCAACGATTCCAAGCCTGGGATGTACAGTCAAGCAATCTTTAAGGGAATTTGGAAGACAGGAAAAACTCTTTTTCTACAATTGAAAGAGGTAAGTTTTCTTTTATTTTTGATTTCGCATTGTTAGTATTTTTAACTTTAAGTTTTCTTTACAATTCTTACAGTTTGAGGTTTTCTGGTTTTTTATGCTGTTGAAATCTTTTTCAATTTTTTTTATTAGGAAAATTTGCGAGGAAGGTCCTTTTAAGTGGTCGACGTTGTACGAAAGGCCCTTTTATAAAAAAGGTGGCACAAAAGGTCCTTATATCATGTTTGGGTTGTGAGGAGGGTCCTTTGACCATTTTCCGGCGTTGAATTTTTTATTTTCCGGCCAAAAAAAGTCACATCTAAGTTCTCTTTTTTCTCCTTCCTCTTTTCCCTCGTTTCCCCTTTTTTCCCCTATTAAACCCTAATTTGTGAAAACAATTAACACCAAAACTTCAATTGTAATCCCGTAAATTAAAATTGAAGGCTATTCAAAGTAATTCAAGTCTAATCCTCCCCACAATGAGAGAAAATAGGGAAAAAAGGGAACTTAATAAGTCACGTGCTTTACACGTGGCTTTTTTTGGCCGGAAAATAAAAAAGTCAACGCCGGAAAATGGTCAAAGGACCCTCCTCACAACCCAAACATGATATAAGGACTTTTTGTGCCACCTTTTTTATAAAAGGACCTTTCTCACGAGGTCGACCACTTAAAAGGACTTTCCTTACAAATTTTCCTTTTGATTAATTTTTGGTTTAGGTTTGATTCCTTCCACTGTGATCAGAGAGGGATTATCTTGAAATTTCTTCATATTCTTACAATTTGAAGATTTTAAAGGTTATTTTCACCCTTTAATTGCTTTTGCATTTAAGAAAGTTTTTTGTTATATTGTTGGTAATTTTGCAGGTTTAGATTTTTTTTTGGTGGGAGATCTATTGTTAGCGCCTATTGATCATTACTCAGCGGCTCATGCTGGCTCTTGAAAGTCGAGGTCAGAAATTTCTATTTTTATCGTATATTCTTATATATTATTAAAATTAGTAATTGTGTGTTTATTACTTTTCAATTTCTTTGTAATTATATGATTTGAATTCTGGACTTTGTAATTCTAAAGGTTAAACTGGCAAATACTTGTTGGTTTGCTGTAAATGTATCATGTATGCTTTCAGGGCCTTTCGCCTTATGGAAGAAGATACTAAGCTATGATTCTGGTGTCTGTGTAGGTGCATGCGGTGGGATTAAATCATTGGTAAGGGTAATACGAGGCTTTCATGTAGCAATGGGATGCGGCTCAGGGATATTGCTATAGCTAATTCAAAAGGTGAATGCTGATGCAAAGAATGGGTATGAGATAATTCTCCATGACTAGAAAATAAAGAGTGTGAATCATATCATACAAATACATACCCTATTTGCTTTACCAAATTATTTGCTAGGTTTAGCCACTGAATTTGATAGGTTTATAGCTGGTTATGACTCTTATGAGAATGATCATACACCTTAATTTGCTCTGCTTTGTAGAATTTCAGGGCAAAAGAGCCAAAACTCTTTTTAACTACTCATATAACCTTCGGATGAAGAACAATAAAGAAAAATTGAACGGTGTAAGAGCCACAATTGATGAAGATAATTGCCTTACACAATCAAAACTTTATAAGCCATTAGATATTTATTGCTTGTTTTATTTATTGCTTATTTGTGGCATAGGCGATATTGTATGCATATTAGATAATCATCAATAATGCTATTTTGTTTTGTACTAATCAATGTTTAAGCTGCTAATTCATATGTAAATTAGTTGCAATTTGAACCGTAATTGTGTTAGTATGATGTGTTGTATTGGCAAGTGGGTCACTAATTTCTGGCATCTCTAAACAACCCGGATTGAAATTGACATGTAAATTCAAGAGAATGATAGCTGTTATAATGTTAGAAGATAATTGCCTTGCACAATCAAAACTTTATAAGCCATCACTTTTGATATTTCAAAACTAAATGCTTGATGAAGTTTTCATTTCAAATCAATCTAGATTCTTATTTTTGTTAGATTAAAATAGTTTTGATTGAGTGATTGCTCAGCGTATTGTGAATTAATCTTTTAAATCTGTTTTTTTATGTAGGCATAGTGATTCTAAAAATACAATGAAGCACGTTGGAAGTTTTTCAGCCGGTAGTGTTGATATGTTAGATGTCTATCCTTTACAACTCAGGCTCTCTGTTTTGCGAGAAGCAAACTTATTAGGTGTTAAAATTAGTAAAAAGGTGATTTCCATGAACTTTTTCTTTTTTATACTGCCTTCGTTAATTATTATGTGCAACAAAGGAATATTTTATGCCTCACAAATAATACCCCTTTGTTGCAAATAATATTTAACGGACGTAGTATTTTTTTTTCTTTTCTTGATGTATATGGCAACTAAGTAATGATTAAGCTAGCTTGACATCTGTGTGTATCTAATTTTGATGCTTTATCATTTTTATTATAAATTTTTTGATTGGGATCGGGTTGTCCTTCAGTTTTCGGTGGGTCGCTAATTTGCAAGAGCCACATTTCTTGATGTTCCTACAGCTGGTCTTCAGGTAGCCTTCCCTCATTTGTTTGATTTCAGATCAGATTAATTTATCAGGTAGCATTTAGATTGATATAATTTGATTTTTGTGGTGACTGATGGGAAAATAATTAATTCCCTGGTTGCACCTTACATTATATACATACATCAATTCGTGATGCTAGGTAGCTTGTAGTTGAAAAAAAAAAAAACTAGGGGACAATCACGAAAACGTAAAGAGCTTGATAGAACTAGACATGATGGTAACAAAAATAAGATGTAACAGATTGAATAACAGGAAACAAGACTGTGTAAATTTATAATGAAAAGTAATGGTCATAAAGCCAAATTAGGTAGTTTATCATGATTGGTTTTTTGGTAGTTTTGACTCATTGATTGACTAACTATGGATAAGGAAACTACAAAATATTCTCCACTTGCAATTCTTTGTGAACGATCTAATTGGACATGCTAGCATCATTGTAAACCAAATTAGGTCATCATCCAACTTTTTCTTCCTTTTCGTTCAGTTCTTCATTGATAGATGATACTCTTTTTTTTATGTTCTATGATTTGAAGATTCTTGTCAATGATCTATATGCTTCATCATACTGTACTTGTTTGATACTTTTTGAGTTTCACCTGGAATTAGCATTAAGCACCATTAGAGAAGTTAACTAATGATTTTTTCCTTGTTGATTATATAGGCTTGATATTTGATAACAAACACAATATCGTAGATACTATATTATATGAAATTATGGCATTTACTGGAACTCATAACAAATGCAAGGCTTGTACTAAACTGAGTATTTTTGTGGATTTGTTATCAGCTGATGGGGAAACTTTTCATAAGTCTCGCATCGGATGCAACCACTGCAATATGATATGTCTCTTTAATGTCACATTATTGCTTTGTGTCTAAAAATGTCTTAAACTCTTGTAGAAATTTCAAAGAAAGATACGTTCTTATGTCCCTTCTATTTGATATTTTGATCATTGGCCTCCTGATTTCCTCTACTTCACCTTTTTCTCGTTTCTAGAATTTAAAATGTGATGTTCATATTAACTAATTTCATATTATAGATAATAATAATATAAAATATAAGTGTATAAATAATTTAATTGCTGAATAACATTGTTACATTGACAAATGAGCTGCTACTCTTCTATGGATGGAGTCCTCTAGCTTAACAATTACATTAACATTTGTAGCTTTACACAACACAGGAAGAAAGTTCTCTTAGCATAAGATTGCCGAGGTGTTTGCAAATGAGGCAAACGTCACCCCTTTGATGTGACGTCATATTTCTCCCTCTCTCCTCGTTCCATCGGTTCCTGTGACGTCACTCCATGTAGGTGATCTGTCCTTTCTTTTATGTACTTGATTTAGTTGTTTAGATCAGAATTTTTTTTAAAAAATGTTTTTAAAATTATTATAGTTGATTTGTTTATTGTTTGATATATATATCTTTACTGCCTAATTTTTGCTAAAGTAAGTCAGTTTTTTACTTGATTGTTTGATGAATTCATGTTTTTGTATGTTGGGTTTGATTTTATCTTAGTGGGGTTTAATGATTTGGCATTGTTTGGCTGTTTCAGTTGTTGATTTTCGAAGATTTTAGGGGATTAGGGTTTCTAGGTAGTGATTAATTAGGGGTTAATTGGAGTAGATCGTTGGATTATGATGAGATATGAAGGTATTTTGGGTTAATAGAAGATGGGTTGTGTTTTTGGGAAAGAGATAGCAGCACATGAGGGGAGGGATAAAGGTGGGAGGAGAGAGAAAGAGAGTTTGGGGGTTGAATCTGGTAGGAAGGCAGATGTTGTGTCTATTGCAGATGTTGTGTCTGGTTGGGATGCAGGGAAAGAAGGGGAAAATGGGGTGTTGAGACGGTTGAGTTGAATGATGGTGGAAGGAAGGAGGAAGAGAAGAAGGGAAAGGTAGAAGTCAGAAGGCAAGAGGCGGCGATCGAAGCCGAATCCTAAGCTGAGTAAATCCTCCTAAGAATGTACATGATGAGCAGGTGGCAATTGTTTCTGCCTGATATTTAGCTGGCCAAATGGAAATAGGATTCTTTTGTTCAACACCATCCTAATTCTTCAATAATATTCAATAGCTAACTTAAAATTGTTGATGTGACAGCAATAAGGGTAGATAGGATTTAAGATGATTTGTATCTGACTTTGTTGGGATGAAGGGTTTAGAGGGGTAATTCTGAGTTGGAGGGTGGGGGGGGGGGGGGGGTTCTCCTCTGTGTGAAGGATCAACACGTCTTTGATTTTAAAGAGATCTCGAGTCTTTAGTTTTTAAGAGATCTCAACCAAAAATGTTAACACGCCTTAGATTCTGTGTTCATGGGTACTGTACTGGCTTGGTGCTCTGTATTTCTTCAAAATTGAAAGAGTCCTTATTAAATGAAGTGTCTTTTAGTACTGCAAAGGAAAATGTATTAGACAACTGTAGCTTCTGATTGTTTGATGGGATTAAGTAATGTTTTTGGCTTTTCTTAAGGTACATAATGGTGGGGGGTGTTTGGACAATTTTATATCACATTTGTTTTATTAGTTGTTTTTAGTTTTGATAAAGAGCTTATGGTCCTTAAACCATATCCGCTGTTTAACATTTTATTAAACTACTTTATCTTCATTTGAAAGAAAAGAATTTGATGCTTAGCATAACAAAGGAGGAGAAAAAATTGCTAGACTAATTGAATATGCATAATTTGTTGGGCAAATGTACTTTTTCATGAGGTCTTCACCAACTGTGGCTCTTACACCGTTTAATTTTTCTTTATTGTTCTTCATCTGAAGGTTATATGGCTGAGGCTGTTGCTCCAGGAATGGGAGTACTTTTGGCTCGCCAACTTGGTTTCGAGAACATTGAACTAGAATGCGATGCGTTAGAGGTAGTAAAAGCCATATGCTCAGGATTGAAGTGGAGAGCTCTGTATGATCTGATTATTGAGGATATGTGTCTACTTGAGTCTTCTTTTACTTATGTCATCATGTCAAAAGGCGTGGTAATGATGTTGCACGCCTAGCTCTGCTCGAATGGTTCCTTTGGTGGGGTTAAGCAAATTTTTTATTCTTATTTCCCGCAAGGCATTTTGGCTCTTGCAAATCTGGTTGTAACTTAATACTTCCTCCGTTTTTCTTTTATTGCACCATAAAGACTTTTACACTATTCACTTAATCTTCT